ACTTTTTATTTATATTTATATACGTTCCATCTCTGATTTTGATCACTTTATCCTGTAAATATACCTCACCTTAAAAACTATTTTTATATATATATATATATATATATATATATATATATATATATATATATAATTTTTTTGTTTATACGTTACAAATGTTCTGTTTTTTTTTTTAATTTATTAATGGGGCGGGGCCTGAATGTTTTGAGAAATTTCTGTTGAAAAAATATGCGTTCTTCGACAGGAATCGAACCTAACCCTAAGGGGAATAGGCCTAAATGTGGTGTGCTGTTATTCATTCAGTCACAGAGAAACGTGTAAGCAAAAGTCTATATATACATTATATGTGTTTATAAACCGTTGGGACTAATGCATGAAATAATAACCACAAATCCTGAACAAAATGGGAAACAAGAAAGTGTACACAATATTTTATAGTCTTTTGTATATTCCTGTAAGATTCTGGAGAATGTGTTGACTGAGTCGCAGTCGGGCAGAGTCTCTGGTTGAATCTTCTTTGATTCCTCCCTCTTCCTGCTACCAACCATATTTACATACTATGCAAATAGGTGGATTTACCAAACATAAACAATAATTCCGACTTTGCCCAGAAAATATATTAAATTGACTACCGGGCTTAATCCATTTCATAATTACCATTAACATAATTACAATCGTCAAGAAAACACCAGCAGTTATCGTTGCTAAAAATTCAAACATCATCATCATCATGTCCACAGACAGAACTCAACTTAACCAACATGGTGATAGTGGACCCAGTACAATGACGAGAGCCGATCTGAAAAACGTCAAGATAGCCCAGCCCGTTTCCTGTTAAGAGAACATTGCTACATATAAAACTCTACAGTCTCGACACCGAAATAGAACGACAATTGTGTATATATATATGTATGTAACTGCGTCTAACCTCAGATTATTTATATGGGTGTTTTTGTATGAACTAAAATGAATGCACCTGTATGTATGTGCGTCTATGTATGTGAGAGTGTCCTCCCAAACTAACACAGAAGAAAATACGCCCTGATGTACACACACGCATATAATCAAACACAAATAAGCATAAATAGATCCACTTTTGAAAAATAAATCAGTTTGTTACAAACTACTTTCCATGTAATTGAATATGTTAGCTCTATCACGGACAGATATTGAGCACTTTCTACTATAACCACACACACACACACACACACACACACATATATACATATATATATATATATATATATATATATATATATATATATATATATAACTAGCAGCATGGCTCGGCGTTGCCTGTGTTTGATTCAAAAATCGTACGACTCATACAGCAATCGCTATCACTTGACTTAAAATATTTTTGCCCTTCCTTGCCTTTTAAAGGAGTGCCCTTTGCCGTGCTGATGTTGCTACATGCCTTACTTCTTGCCTATCTCCACTGAGAATTTTTTTCTAAGCTCTATACTAAACATTAAATCTGTTACGAAAAAAAGAATTAAACAAAATGAACACAAAACGATCAGTTTTAAAAAGGGCTCGTAACTGGAAAAACCGAATGAAAAAGAATGTTAACAACAAATACTTTTTCACACCCAACCCAGTTCCGCGGAATCAGAATCAACGTTAACTTTAAGCAAGCGAATGAGCCAATTGGTGTAAAGTGCGATGCACATTTTTCCACTTGTGACGAATGCAGCTATCGATTTTTTTTGCATGCTAGTTAACATTCGTGTCAGTCAGCTGTTAGCTCTCATGCTGGCCAATAGAATCTTCCTGTCTATTCTCACTCTGGCCAGTATTAAATGGCCGCAAACTACATGAAAACTGCCGTAGAAACATGAAAAAATCGATTATTTCCACTATTGATGTGAGTTGGGAAATGCAAAGTCGGTCTTGGCCTTCCCCCTAACTTGGAGCCTGTGCATGTAAATTTTGGTGTAAATCCGTCGAAAATTGCGGCCGTGCATTCGTTACACACACACACACACGCACACACATCCTACCTTTTATAGATGGAGATACGATGGATAAATTGTCGTCTAAATTACACAAAAATGAGGTTCATTAACATGAAAATATAGAAGGCAATTCCATTCGTTTATATGAATTATTATAACTACAAGTATGGTGTCTATGTCATTTATTTCTTGCAAGATTTTTATTAGGGAAATGCCACCGTGAAATTTCCAGGGTGTCGTAAAAAACGAAAATTGAAAACTATATGTCACGGGCAAATAAATGCTAATTAAATGAAACAAAATTTTCTAGGAATATGGGTTAGTACTTATTATTCACCGTGGAATTGCCAAAATTCTTATTGTGAAGTTTTAGAAACAATTTGCAAAGGCCAGTTTTAGATATATCAAGTTCAGTTCTATGCGTAGGCCTCGAGACCTGGTGTAAGAATGTCAAGATGGAGATGACTTCGGCAATATGTTTGAATTGAATCGATGCAATGTGATTTATTAATATGAAAATCAAGAAGACGCCCGTTAAATATGAATTATTATGACTATCACTATGGGATATATATCATCTATTTCCTTCAAGATTCTAATTATGGAAATTTCACTGTGGAATTTCCAGGAAGTCTTATTCCCCCCCCCCAAAAAAAAAATTAAAATCTACCTATGACACGGCAGAACAAATTCTAATTTTAAAAAAATAGCAGAATTTTTTTTAGGAATACGTGATTCTAATTATTAGTCACCATGGAATTGCCAAAATTCTTATTGTGAATTTTTAGAAACAATCTGTCAAATAGCCATCTATTCTTATAACAAACTCTTCAATCGTGCATCGAATATTGCTACCATTTTTGGTCCCGTGTTTTTCTGTATCACATCCGAACTCGTTTTCTTCATTCGCTTATTTGATTTGACGGCCTCTTCACTAGTATGCGAGAATTAGCTTTGGCAGTAAACAGATAAAATAACCCCCTCCACACATACATACATACATACATACATATATACATACGTAGGGCTATGGATAAACTGCTGTTTAAATTATACAAAATTACAATTCACTGATATCTCATTTTAACTGATATATTTACCAAAATTACACAAAAATATCTTGCTAAACTAAAGAGTAAATTTATTCAATAAAATCGCCATCTGCTTCAACCACAGCCTCCAGAGAATCACCTGCAACTCTTCTGAACGGTCTACTTGTTTAAGTTGGTGAATACTGCCCTAATCCCTGCCTCCAGTTCATCATTCGTGTTACAAGAAGTTTTGTTGATCTCTCGCCCAACTGCGCCCCACTCATAATAATTAAAGGGGTTGCAGTTTGGGGCGTTAGGTGGCCATATGTAAGGGGTGATGTGGTCTCAGAAATTGTCTGAGAGCCATGACTTGGTTCTCATGTTTGTGTGGCATGGTGCAGAGTCATCTTGCCAGACATAGGATCTTCCAGCAGCCACCATCTTAAACCAGAACAGCGCTAACCCTTCAAAGGACTTGATGTAGGCCTTTGTGTTGAATCTGAGGCCCTCACCAACAAATTCGATAGTTCTTTTCTTATTAGAACAATCACAGTGTATTTTCCGAGCTGCCGTAGATTCGTAATCACCATTAGACTCATCCAAATCATTCCGAGGCTTCTACCTCAGATACCGAAACACGCTGAAATGTTCGTATTGGAGCTTCCGGTGCGAATGTCAAGTACTAAAGCATGCCGTTTTCAAATTTCTGTCGCAGTGTTATGGTGGTTTTTCTTACACGCGGTGCCCAACTGACCCTACTATACTGTGCAGTCGACAAAAAATAAAAAACAAACAACGTGCAGGGATAATATTGTTGATCATAATCTGAAGCGATCCTCAAAAAATTTGTATCTAACAACAAAACTTAATCATCTGCCACTTCAGAGAAAACCACGTTTTTCCTATGACGTCGTTGATTGGTTAATATATATGAATACAAAAATTCAAATTATTGGAACTGGTCAGTGTACAAAAAAAAATGAGTTAATATCTGTGCAGTGACATTACACAAAAGGTACGGTGGATTAATAGATAACGGCTCGGACTGAGGAATCTGAGAGCCGAGTTCTAATGCCAGTCGAATCAATTACATTCACTTACGTACTATTACCTTTGGAAAGGTATGAATCCTCCTCTTCTCCCTCTAGCTATGGGTAAATAGACTTGGATGAGAACTGGTCTACCACAGAAGAAATGGCAACCTACTGCGTGAAAATATCTGCCTCGTCAGTCATGTATCGAAAGATACATGATCGCCTAAACGTGTGTCACGCATGGCACATAACTAACATTGCACAAATCTATGGCATTTTTCTAAAATTCTGTAACGGATTACGCACATATATAAATACACACACAGACACACACATATACCCAAATGTAAATAAAGAAGAGTAACATTTCAGTGTTCAAAACATTAATTTAAAACCGGGCTTAATACAAAAGTAGAGCAATACATATTCATTTATTATGCACTTGCACTGGAACATGTACATAATGTTCTAACGTAACAGTGAATAATATATATATATATATATATATATATATATATATATATATATATTGAGCAGTAAAAAAAAAAAATATTAAAAATTAAAATTTTCAGACACACTGGGTTGTATATTAATTTTTTTTAATTTTTTTTTTTTTTGCTTTATTATTACAATTAGATTCCTGGGTTGTATATTAAGTATTTTTTTTTTTTTTTTTTTTAGTAGTTTCCCGGGCAACATTGCCATTATCAGGAAAACAAAACATTTCTGCTTGTTAGTAGAACTACAGGAATTAATGACTTTCTGAAGAAAATGAACGTTATCTGTAGTTTTCATTTTTTATCGTTAATTTTGGTAAGTTCTTGTGTTGTCAAACGGCATCTTTGACGTTGTTTTTGTATATCCTAGGGAATAGTTGTGACTATCGTAGTGAATGAATACATCGATTTTTTTTAAATTTATTTTTTAAAGAAAAATTCATATATTATTACTACGAATTATTACATTATTAACTTACTGTCATATCACGTTGAAACACTGGTTCTCGTTCGGCCACGGAAGTTAAGCAACGTCAGCCTGATCAGTACCTAGATGAATGACCGCTTGAGAATACCAGGTACTCTATGCTTGGTTGTTTGTGTGGTGTAATGGATAACGGCACGAAAATGGAAATCGGAGAGCCGTATTCCAATTCCAGTCGAGTTCGTTATATTCACCTACGCGCAAATACTCTTGGGTAAGTATGAATCCACATCATGTCCTCCAACTATAGGTTAATTAATAAGATTTGTGTCAGTGAATCATTATTATCTTAAAAATTTCGTACCATCTAAAAATATTTTGGGGCTACAAAAGATTGATAAACCATAAATAAAATTATATCAATCAAATCAATATTATATTATGAATAAATACAATTTATTTGATAACTTGTTTTTATCAGTTCAGGACAAGCGATAATGCCACTTTGATGTAAGCGTCAACTGGGAATGAAAGAGAATGAAAAGTCCTGTTTTTGAAGGGAACGGAACTGTGGTGAAAATGGCTTACCTCGGAAACGCGTTCGAATCTGCGCAGTATGCAAACTCTGGTCCTTCCAACGGTAAAAAGAAAACCAAATTGGCGGCGCCCACGTTTTATGTCGGACGGTCTCGGTTAGTTAACGCGAAATCTCGTTGTCTCGTGATTCGCATGCAAATCGTGGTCGGTCCGCGGCTGTATAAAGCAGGCTCGTTTTTGCTGTTTCAGATCAGAGGGCTTTCAGCTCGTGACCGGTGTTTGTCAATTTTTTCTGTCTTACAAAGGATTACCTTTTGAACTGTTCGACTGCTTTATTTTAGTTAAGTTTTTTGATTAATTTTACCTTTTTTTTTCTAACGTGATTTTTGACTTTTCTGTTAAATTTATCGTTTTTTAACGTTCTTATTTTTGACCATTTTATTTTTTCCTTTTCATTTCCTTTCCCTTTTATTTTACTTCATTTTTGTTATTAATTCTTTTTTTTTACGTGTTTAAATCTATTTTCTTCCCTGCCCACGTCCCGGAGTTTATCTGTTTATTTTTCGTCCGACATTTTTTAATTATTACGTGTTAATTATTTCTGTGTTTTTTTATTGTTACCCGTTTTAAAAAAAGTCTACGTTTTACCTGTTAATTACGTGTTTATAATATTTGTTTTCTTTTAATTTTTGTGTTTAATTTGTAATTTCTGTCCCTCCTCGTTTTTTTTAACGTTTTCTTTGTTGGGTTGACCGTTTTTTAGCGGCAGCCATTTTGTAAATTGTAACACTTTTTTTTGTTTCGTACGTTATTTTGTATAGCGTTTTCTCTTTTTTTCCCGTTTATAACTATTAGTTTTATTGTGTAATTTGTGGTTTTCTTGTCTGTTATCCTTTTAATTTTGTGTTTTTTCTTCGTTTTTTGTGAACCTTGTTCACATTTTCTTGTCTGTCCATTTGTTTTTGCGTTCTTTTTTTTTTTTTTTCCTGTTTACATTTGTGGTTTTTTTGCACACGTCCTTCTGTTTTATTTTTTTGTCTGTAGATATTTGTTTACTAGTTTAAATTGTTGTCTTGCTAATAAGCAAAAAATTTATTTTTTACCCTCCCTTTTTTATTTTTTTTTCTCCCTCCCTCCGCCTATAAGGCGGTGCCCCACCTGTGTTTACCCTCCCCTTCCTTCTTATTATTTAAAAATGGGAAAAAAAAAGGAAAAACAACCAACCTCCTTTTTGGCTATTTAAAAAAAAGCCCAAAAAGTCTATTCAAACACCTTTTGAACCCTACCAAAAGACCCCGGACAAAGACAGTTTTTGGAGGAGTTTCCAGCTCTTAATACCTCTTCCCCTAGCAATGTGGAAACTGTTGGGGGAAAAAAGATAATGAAATGGGAAAAATTACTTCTACGGAAGCTAAGAAAGGAAATAACAAGGAAACAACTATGGAGGCCAATAATGGCCAAGATCTGAAAAAACCGAAAATGAACCGCAAACTGAGCCTCAGGCCGGGGAATCGCCCTCTTTGTTGGTCGTCCCCTCCTAAGTGCATTATCAATTTAGCGGAGTTATTGAGCGTGCCAAGAGTTACGCCCACCTTGTTGTAGAAGGTGGACTTTTGGAAGACCCCAAAAATTCAAAAGAAAATTGACAAAGAATAGTGTCAGTTTTCGTCGTGGACAAGCGTACGCGCAAAATTTGTCGCTCGACGAAAAACAGTGCTGAAAGCACTAGAATCCTTCGGGTTCAAGCCCTTAGAATAGTTAAGGGACCTAAATTTTTCATGTGGGACGTGCTGTTGCCCACTCCAGAAGACTGCGTCATAGCGGCTAGCCGCGAGCTTATAAACAAAGAGTTTATACTGCGTACGGAGTACGAAGGCCGACAATAAGACCATCGTAACGGTATACGAGGTCCCTCCTCAGGTTATCGGGGAACATATCACAGCGTTCTTCTCTCGGCATGGCGAAATTCTGGGAGCTCCTGTGATAGCCTGAGCGGGGGTGGAGCTTTGACATCATGTTGGACGAGAAAGCCTTCCGCTCCATCCCCAACTGTCTGGATGTTGGCTGTTTGAAGTTACCGGTCATTGTGACGGGTCGAAGACGGTATGCTGGAGGTGTGGACTGGTCATCTCATCCTCCTGCCCAGAGAAGGCCTCTGGAAGTCAAGCGCCAGTTACTCAAGATCCCCCTCTGACCGCGTCTCTAAATTCCGCCTCGCCTGTAATGGGCGTACCAGCCTCCGGGACCGGGTCGGTTAATCCTCCGGTTGGCGCGTCATCGAAAGCCACATTCCCCCAAAGAGCCTTCGCCCGCTGCCGGTGCAGTTGTGGAGAAGGGGAGGGAATGGCTGGTTGCTGGTAAGGCCAGAGGGAAGCGCCGGACAGCGGGTCCTCAGTCTCCTGAAGCCCCAAGGAAGAAAGGCACATACAGCCCCACTCCTCTAACAACGTTAAGGGCGATGCCCCGGCCTCTGAGCTTACTTTCCAGGAAATGCAAAAGAAATTCGACCCAGGTTTCCGAAAATCGGAAAAATTAAGGAATTGAAAAAACATCTGATTCCAAAAGAAAAGACCTGATCCCTTCAACGTCCTCTACTAGACCCTCCCCTTCACCGAAGAAACAACCTCACCTTCGCCTACGTCTTCGCCATCAAAAGCCACACCCCACAGTAGTGATCCCATCCCCTATAGACATAGATCCTTTTATACCCCCCTTTACATACACCCCACTTCTCCCGTTAAACAAAAAATCCTCCCTCCATACCCCCAAGCAATCACCGGTAAAGAATACCGATATGCCTCCTCCTGCTCCGAAGCGGCAAAGAAGCCCAACACAACAGGCAAAAAAGAAGAAAAGAAAGAAAGAAAGAGAAGATTTATTTTCAACACAGAGAGGAGGGTGTGTATTTCCCTGCCCAGGCCGAGAGAGCCCGGGACTATAGTAACAGGGTCAAAAGATCTGAAGTACCTGCTCTCAATTAGCAGTTTTGTTGACCTAGGTATTGAGGAGCCTAAAACTTCCCAAATGCCCAGAGGGTCCTGACAGTAATTAGGTCAGGACCTGCGGCAAATCAAACCTGGGCGATGGTAGATGAGGCCATTAATGTGTGTTAGGGTTGGCTTTGCCCATCGCCATAGTGAAAAAACGAGAAATTAAAAAGTTAAAACAGTTCTGTGCAGGGGAGGGTCCCTGTTTTAGTTCACTCCATCCCCTGTATAGAGCTCTTTAAATTGACATTCCCTGGGATATCGGCGGTATCTCCCAAGACGGCACCATCAAGAATGAGATGGGCCATGGGTCCTATGGGAGAGGCTGTCGGTATCCTTACCCGGCCATGTTTAATGCTGGTAAACAACCCTAATCGGACTTCTCAATGGCTCTCTGGTTAGCTACGTTAAATGTGCGGGGCCTGAGGTCCGAGTTCGCAGGGGCGAGGCTCTCGTGACCTTCAGCGCCTCGGGTGAATGTTTTTGTGTGCAAGAGACCCGGTTTTCTTCTCATGACTATGGGGATATACTGTCTAAGGGTTCGACCTTTATTCAGCATGTTTTGATGGTCGTTCGAGGGGTGTCTCTTGGCTAGTGAGCAAGTCTTTTGAAGGCTGCATGTTCCCTTTGTCTTCGCAGATCCGGCGGGCATGCTTTTGTGTGCTGGATGTTACTATAAGGATAAGGCTTTACGTCTCATTGGGGTTTATGCCCAATAGTCATACTGAGCGGCCTGCTTTGTTTCGGCAGATCGAGCCGTTTTTTGACGACTTCTCGTCGGGTAGTCTTAGCGGGGGGATTGGAATGCCGTCCTTGACCCTGAGATAGATCGTATAGGTAAAAACCGGTACTAACGTCCTGATGTGAAGGCATTTCGGGGCTTTATCGGCAGGTTTGATCTTGTCGATAAGTACCGGAATGAGCACCTCAGGAGGTAGCATGGACTTGGACAAATAGTGGCGACTCGGATCCTGGCTCGCTTGCGAGCTACCTGGACCGAGTGTTAGTTAGGAGAGTCGATGTAGGGTTTTAGAGTGTCCAAGTTTCCACTATATAGTTTATACGGATCATAGGTTTGTCCGGGTCCGTGTAAACTTAGATAAGTTATGTTAGAATGGTTGGTTACTGGAAATTTAACTGTTCACTTTTTGGTGAGCAGGATTTCCGGGACCAGCTGCTACTAATGATTCAGAGGGAATTGACGGGGCGGTTGTGGGTAACGCCTGGTGGGGAAAAATTAAAATCTATGATTAGAACGTTTGCTGCCGATTTTAGTCGTCGACTCAATCTAGATAGATTAGCGGCGCAAACGGCTTTAGAAGAAAAGGTCGATCGGGCTGTTAAATCCGTGTTAGTGGGGGGACATAGTCTTAGCTAAGGCAGAGTTGGCCTTGCTTATCAAGAAGGATCAAGCTCTGGTAGTTAGGGCTAGGCTAAAAAGAATGTCTTCTGAGGCGACGAATATGGCCGCAGAATTGCGTGCAGAGGAAAATCGGAACGCGGCTAAGCGACATATAGCGTGCGTCACATTGCCGGTAAGGGACCGTGACACAAGCGCGGGCATATGCGAGGCTTTTTTTACTTTCAGGATTTTTAACGGGAGCTCTGCTCAGTTCGACGCCATTTATAAATTTC